CTCTGATGGTCATTTTCTAGAACCTTCTATATTGTTGTTGTACAAGTAATTAATATATTTTACTTAATGTAAGTAATTATTTATAAATATTTTAAGATAATAATTAACTGCCTAGTGAACTTTTTAACAGTGTAAAGAACTTAGTGTGTACACTTTGGAAGCAATTCAGCTAAATTTACATAGACTGTATATCATGAGACATCACCTCATTTGATGACTTCATTATATTTTTTCCACTAATATACTTGTAACCCCGACCTTCTGTATGAAGAAAAATTTTAAACACGATGAAAGGTGGAAATTCCTCACCACTAAATCTGAAATAAAGACCAAAACATCAGTCATTCAGTGTCAGATTTTAAGTACAGTTACTTCTTGTACTTAACAATGTAAGCAGTTTCTGGAAAATAAGGTAAAAACAAGGCCATTTGTATTTTCAGAGCTATGCCAAAACATATAAAGAAATGGTAGTGAAATGGATCTCCAGTTTGGACGCTCCTATGTTAAGCAGTTTAATTCTGGCGGGTAGGTTGTTTTAATTAAAAGTTGTGTGTAAACTGTTTGGTTTTTTTTTGTTTTATTTCATTAACAATCGAGTGTAAGGTCATCTGGATTTAGTTAACAATCAGCTGTGGGCTGGAAACCTCTCATTAAAATAAATTAGGACCTGGTGGGTGGGCCTTTGTATGTAAAAGTTTGTTAAAAATACCCTGCTGTTAATTGTATCTGTAGTTCTAAGTGGTATAGTATTTGTTACGCTGAGATATCTGGGGTTGCTGTGATACTGAAAGCTGTGCCACTGGTGTGTCCAATGCCAATGGTTACCCATGGTGGACAGGTTTTGGTAGAACTCCCAGATAAAGACAGAATTGGAAGCAGGATTGGCATCCACTTCTTAAATAACAGGCCTTTGAAAATCTTATGAACACTAGAGGAACAATGGTAGTTACAGAACGGGGTTCAGATCTTTTGTTCATAGGGTCGCTATGAGTTGTACTCACCTAACAACAACAGTGAAATAGATTACTAAAGATGAAAGACCCACATTTTGTGTCCTTATAATGACTTTCATACATGTGTAAAACTAACACATAATGAGCACTGAAAGCTAGAAGCCACTTTTGGACAAAATAATGCCTTAGTTTAATCCATACAACAAATATAAATAACAACATACTTACACTCTGAGAAATTATGAGCAGTGAAAACTGAAATTTCTAATATTTCTTCATACTAGGTACTTTTTGAAGTAAATCAACATACCTGAATCTGACTTTATACTTCATGCTAGGATCTTTAATCAGCTGAGCCTCTAAGGGGCACATTCCCTTTAGTACTTCGTATGCCACATAATGTTCCTGAAATAGTTGATGGTGCTGTTATTAGAAAGTAGTACTCTGTCCAGACATATTTTACTGACTATAACAGAGGCAGTGTGGTAAGGACAACAGAACACTGGGTTTGGAGTCCTGTAGACCTGGATCCTAGTCTTGTCCCTGCCATTTATTATCCATGCGGCCTTGAGTCTGTTACTTGATCTTTTTGGCACCACAAGTTATGGGTATGAGTCCCTGTTTGAGATCTCAGGCTGTGTTTATTTCCCTATGACAACACTTTTCACAATGTGATTATCTGTGAAGCTTGTCTTTATCTTCTACTATACAGTAACTTCATGACTGTAGGGATAGTAACATTCCTGTTCATTGTTCTAGAATCTAGCACAGTGACTGGGACACAGCAGAGTCACTTAACAGATAAGTGACATTGAAGGAAGCACCATAAAATGAAGATGATAAAAGCAGTAAATTATTAGCTTTAAGGTACCTCTTATGTGCCAGATCTTATGTTAAGTGCCTTAGAAACTAATTTACTCTTATTGGAATATTATCATTCTCACATTGCAAATAAAAATGCTGAGACTTATAAGTTTTAGTAACTCATCCAAAAGGCAGACAGGTAGAAAATGAGGGAGGATTAAACCTTTGATCTATTGACTCAAAATCTCCTACTCTTTTCCCCACATGACCTCATCTAACCTTCATGGTTGTAACAATCACATAAAAATATTCATCAGGAGGCTTCTAAAATGAGAAGGAATTACTAATACAATTAAATGAAGCATTAGGATAACAACTGAAGAAAAAAATTGGTTTCTTTACATTACTAAAAGAGTCTAAAATTTATAACAAAACCAGTATTATAATAAATGTTTTACATGTGAAGATAACACATTGGACCTGAAATGTCAATAGTTCACTTGTGTTGGATTCCTCTGCAGAATTCTGTGTTTACTAACATCAGAAATAGGTTGGTAGGTCAGATGGTGAAGAAGAATACACACATTGCTCAGATTTCCTAATTTTTCAGAGTTGCTCAAATTCCCTTAATGTGACTATTACTAATAACAGATGACTCAAATTGTGGGTTTATTAGGAGTATATGTAGTATTATATTAAGGAAGACTTAATGCTTTGCTGAGGTTGCCACAGTGTTTCTCTGAAAAAGAAGGGCAAGTGAATATTTTTTCACTCAAATAGGATCATAATATTCATATTGTTCTTCACTTGCTCTGTTTCAACATGAGATATCTGGGTATCTTTCTTTTGCAGAATCACATTAAAGTTACAATCCTTAATACTACTAAAAAACCAATATATATTTAAGTAGCATCCTATCAATAGACTTCATATAGTTTATTTTATATATATATGCTATACTATATTTTTGTAGGATGGATTCTTAGAACTGAAATTGCTGAATTTTATAAAGATTACAGTACTTTGGATTCAGAGATTGTAACTGTTGTAAGAATCTTGTACCTTCAAATAAAGAATTGTTTTGTTTAAAAAAAACAATCTAGTGCATTATTTTAAAAAATGCAATAACAGCTATCCATATTAAAACCAAATCCATATTTATTCACTTATGGCAACAAAAAGAATACTCAAACTCATGTGCTATATTATTAGAACCTAAGAGATTAAGGTAATATATTCCATTTTTAATTAGCAGATCATTTAGCTTGATAATTAATGAAATCAAAGAAAACAAAAGGAATACATACCACTGCACAAATTGTGTGTTTCAGGAGCTGAAACATTGTTTTATACACATGAGCAAGCCATGCATGCTCTATTATATGAACTGCAATAATTTCCTTAGCTCTGAGAAACAGAAAGAGGTTAAAGATTTAGAAAGTAATTTTCATTTTCTTAAAATCCTGGAAATTTATGTTTTCTCTACCTCCACCTCCCTATCCTTGCCTCCAAGAATGACCTAAAGAGAGACATTTGGATGATGTCATTGGGACACCTTGTCACTTGGATCTCTGGTGGCTGAATAGTAAGGAATTGCGTAAGGAATCCAAATACAGGTAGTCTGAGTCCACACCAATTGCTCCATGGGAAAAAGATGGGCAATCTTCTTCCACATGATTTATAGCCTCTGAATACCCACTAGAAAGTCAGCTATTAGTTGGTTCTGACTTGATGGCATAAAATGGCAGAATAAAATGAGTCCTATAAATGAAAAGTGACACAGAAGTTAAGTAGTTACTAACCAACAGATGAGCTATTCTGATCCACCAGATACGCCATGGAGAAAGATGCAGTTTGCTTCTGTAACGGTTCATGCCACGGAAATCCCCAAGGATACTCTGTCCTACATGGTATGAGTTGGAGTCAACTTGATAACAGTGGGTTTGGTTTTAATCAGAATAGTGACCAAAACTTTATCATTCAAATCCATGTTATTGTTGTTAGGTGCTGTCAAGCTGACTATGACTCATAGTGGCCCTATGAACAACAAATCAGAACCTTATCCCATGCTGTATTGCTACGCTTAAGCCCACTGTCACAGTAATTTTGTCAATTCATCCTTCAGTCCTTGAAAGTCTCTATCACTGACTCTCTCCTTTTCTAAGCATGATGTCTTTTTCCAAAGTCTTGTACCTCCTGACAACATGCCCAAAGTATTTGAGTTGAGGTTTCACCATTCTTGCCTCTGAAGAGTACCCTGGTTGAATTAAGGCAGTTTAGTTTATTTTTTTTTTATATTTGCATATTCCAATTCAGTGGTTAGTAGAGAGAGTTCACTTTGCTTTTGATTATGTCCCAGCACTAGCAGCAGATTAGGCCTCACAAGACCATGTGCAAAGGGAGGTTCTTGTTGTGTACTACGGAGTGAGGACCAACTGATACCTGAATGACAGCTGATCCTCCAGCAGGTTTTCAGAGACAGTCAATCGCATGGGAGTTGACTGCTGACTTTTCTACTGTGGAGCATTTGGCAGATTTGAACTGCAGTGTTGACAGCACAATTTCTTACCACTAGGACACCAGAACAATGGCAAATGCAATTGTTCTCTGGCAAAAAGCAGAGCACAAATGGAGAGCGTGGAAGTTGCCTTAAGAAAGGAAATAAAATTTTGAATCCTAACAAATGCAATTTTTAACTGTGTAATTCTTCCATAAGTCACTAAACTTCTTGCCATTGGTGCTTCCTCATTTATAAAATATCGTAAGACGACTAGGTCACAAGGTTGTGCTGGTATCAAAAGAGACGTTTAGCACGCCTTATAAATTATGAAATAATAGAATGACAATACTTATCATTCAATACATAAAAGGTTATTTAAAAACGCAAAACCTCTAATTTACAAAACAAAAAGTGAAGTTAGCTGGTTAAATACTGTATGGAAACTGTCCAGCCGTAGAAAATGACACAAGGTAATTTGTGGCACTTACCTTTTCTTTATACTTGCTTGCTTGGCTTTTTCTAAGTGTGTCTTTTTTGGCTTTGGATTATCATTAACTTTCAGATCTGAGGAAGAAGTAAGTTGCAGATCTGAGGAAGAAGTAAGTTGCAGATCTGAGGAAGAAATAACTTGCAGATCTGAGGAAGAAGTAAGTTGCAGATCTGAGGAAGAAATAACTTGCAAATCTGAGGAAGAATTCATGTTCCTTACAATGATGTAATCTGAAAGTATAGAAATTAAGCTTTTAACATCATAATCTATATTATTGCATTGACTAGATTCTAGTGCCATATGACTGTTGGAGTTCTAGAATTCTTTAAAAAAATAATTGTGGATCTTTTAATGTTTGCTACAGTTTGTGTTCTTTGTGTACTAAAAAGACCTTATATGGTATATGGAAAACACAGAACCTTCTGACCGGTTCCCTCACTTCAGTCTCTTCTGCCTCCTACTTAACCTCAACACCAAGCTAGAATTAATTTATTTGGGCAGTAATCTAATCTTATCATTCCCCCCAACTTAAAATTTTTCATATACTTCAAGCTAAAGTCCAAACTCCTTAGAATGGGGTTGAAGTTTCCCCCTCACAGTTTTCTTCCATTTTCTCTTTCAATTTAAAAATAGTACCAGCTTTCATTAGGGAGCTCTTGTGGCCTAGTGGTAAGGAGATGCACTGCTATCCCAAGACCCATATGGTTTGAAGCCACCAGCTGCTCTGTGGGAGAAAGATGGGAAATCTTCTCCCATGCAATTATACTGCCTCTGAAAACCTGCTGGAGGGTCAGCTATGAATCAGTTCTGACTTCATGGTACACACCACCACCAGCTTTCATGGGACTTCTTTTCCATACACTGAAAAAACAAGAACTTCTTGCCAAATGAAGTTCTCTGACCATGTCATTTCCTTTACCTAGAATGACCTCCTTACCACTAGGCAAATAAAAACTAATTCATCCTACAAGACCTCTGCCTAGTCTCAAAACTTACCACATGCCCTCTTTATTTTAACAGAACTGTTCACTCCTATTTCCAAGGTCCCTTTCTGTTCTGTATATAATTTTTTTACTGTACTTCTCATATTGCATCAAAATGCTGAACATGCTTATTGAGGGCGGGAAGCATCTTGTTAACTATGTAATCTCTAGTGCCTAATAGAGTGGAAGATTTTTACATGCTGTCTGAAAATTTTATCACCAAACAGCTGTTAAAGTTGGGTAGCAAATTACTTAACCTCTCAGTAATTCCATTTTCTCCTTAGTAAATTGAGAATTCATATACTAAATGATTTGCTGCCATCTCTAACTTTCTTAGCCTTTGAAGCATTAATCCAATTCGGATGAAGGTACAAAAATCTTAGCCACTGCTAACATGTTCTCTTAAATCTGGGTTTTTTTTTAATAAGTCCTTTTGTGTCATGAATCTTTAGAAATAGACACCTCCTAAAAATTAAGTTTTTAAAATGCATGAAATGTAATATATAGAATTATAAAAATTCTAATGATACTGAAACTGTGGTAAAAATATATTTTAAAAAATTATGACACAATAACATATGCCTGCTTTGTTTATACATTAAACAGAATGGAAGCTCTAATAACTGTTGTACTTTTAAGACAGTTATTAACATAATGATATTTCAAGATATTCACCATGTCCATAGGGAGTTCTGGTGGCCTGGTCTATAGGGAGTTGTACTGCTAATCCCAAAAGGCACAATCTCTCTGGCGGTTCAGATCCACAAGGAGATTGCCCAGTTTTCTCCGGAGGGGGGGGAAAGGATGGGTAATCTCCTTCCATGCAATTTACACTTTGGAAGCCTAATGGATGGTCAGCTATGAGTTGGTCTGACTTTAGGGCAATGAGATTTTAGAGCTATTTACATAATGTGATAGTAAAATACCTATGCTTTTCATTGATGACAAAGTGACAGGTACCAATACTACTTACTATGCCCTGTTGCTTACTCCACACCTGAAAGAAACACTACTGCTCCTTTAGAGGGAGGTGAAAATAAAACTGTCATTTTCCCCCTAAGCGTACATAACCTTGAATTAGGAACTCCTGTACTAAGTGATGATTATGTTTATCTATCTATCTATATCTCACATTACCAATGCAGTCTTCAGTCTAGTCAATATCTCTCTGGATGGAGGATGGCTCTGAAATCTCCTGAAAAAGAGAAAAGCAGCCCTTAACTTCTGAAAGCAGGCCTGATACACACAGGTGGGCCTTAGTATTACCCTCACTTGCTGATAGCACCAAATTGAGATCACAGTTCACCTCTCTGAACTCACTCCCAAATCACCCAACCAGAGTAGAAATCCTATGATAAATCTAACATCCTTTTACTGGGATGTCTCACTGTTCCCCATGGTGTGTGTTCTTTCTCACAACTATGACAAAATAAACTCAACTTGCTCAACAAGTGGCCTTTATCTGGAGGGTGATGATGTCATTGCACATCCTTCCAATCTACTGGATAATTGCCTAGACGGGGACAACTTTTTAAAAAATTTTTACTTTATTATTTTTTGTGTGTGTTCCATCAAGCCAGATCTGACTGGTACAGGAGGAGATTGCCCCTCCTTCTCCAGCAGAGCATCTGGTGGATTTGAACCGCATACTTCTGGGGTTGCAGTGCAGCTTCTTGCCACTAGGCCACCAGAGCTCCCTGGGGATAACTTTCTACTACTACTAGGGAGCTCTGGTAGCTTAATGGTAAGGAACTGTGTTGCCATCGCAAAGGCATGTGGTTTGAACCCACCAATGGCTCTGTGGGAGAAAGTTGGACGACAGCCTTCTGCTTCTGAAAAGTACTTTTTATCGATTTACTGCCTTTGAAAACCTCCTGGAGGGTCAGTGAAGGGCTGGTTCCGACAGTACATAACAAGCATTATTACTATTCCGGTGCATAAGGAGGTGCCAAAACCTAACTGGTGAGTCAGTTATGTATGAATCAGTTCCAACTTGATAGCAACGAACACAACAACAACTACTCCTCCTTCTCATCCCTATTGAGTCGGAACCGACTGACTGCTGACCCTCCAGTCGCTGGTGGATTCGGCTTGCCACAGAGGCGCCACCTTTGGACTAGCAGTGCAGCTAGCTCCTTACAGACTATGCCACCTTATGGCACTGAACAGCACCCTACACCATACGAACAAGATCAGGATTGCTGTTGGGTGCCGTTGAGTCAGAACTAATCCATAGCTGACCCTCCAGTGGTTGGTTTTCAGAGGCAGTTAATCTCACTGGAGGAGATTGCCCATCCTTCTTCCACTGGGCAGCTGGTGGATACGAACTCTTTGCCTCTAAGATTGCAGCACAGCTTCTTACCGCTAGGCCATGAGGGATTGAGGTTAGATTTGAAATACACAAATAGCCTAAGTATGAAACAATACAGCCACTATTTATGGGAGAGTACAGGTTTATAAAGCCAGACAGACTGGATTTAGATCCCACCTTCCTACTTATCTGTGTGGCATTATTTAAGATAATTCTATATGCTAGTTTCCTTAGCTATAAAATGGCAATAAAATCGTGCCCACCTACATGGGTTGTTAGAAAGATTCAAGAAATATGTGCCAGAGGCTCAGGTCTGACAGAGTTAGGCAGAGTTAGTTGTGAGTGCTGTGAAATTATTTGCTATTCTTGGTAATAAGAGAATTACTAAGGTCGTTACTAATTTTCAGTAGTATGAAGAGACAAACATGGCTCCCAGTGAGGGGTCTACACCTATTAGGGGTGGGGGGGAATGCCTTTCACGACTAAGAAGAGTAGAAAATTGGTTTAAATTGAAAGACCTCCGAAATGATAAGCCCCCTGGAAAAATCTGAAAACCTTTGTGAGGTAAATACCGGCCTCTAAGGTTGGAGGCTTCCGGCTGCGACACAAACGAAGCTGCCTGAGACCCACTGAGCGCCCCCAGCCGGCGACTTCCGCGCACAAGATTCCGGGCTCACACCTCCAAGTTCCCAATGGCGGCGGCAAAGAAAGCCGACGCCCGGTGCCTCCCTCCGCGCGCCCCCGCGTTCTTCCCACACTGAACCGCGCTTTCCCGTTGCCAAGTAACAGCCGGTGCAGAGGCGGAGCCTCGGGGAAGGCGGAGCTTGTGCCCGCCAGCTGCTGGGCCGTGACTTGCTGCAGCTGGACGACGTCGCTTCCAATCCAGCGTGGTTAGTAAAGCTGCGTGGATCAAGTCGCCGGTACGGCCGTCCACCGCACCGCAGTCCATTCGCGGTCGGCTGAGAAACCAGGCCCTACTGGGCTGCCGTAGCCCCATCTCAGTAGTGGGCGGGGCCAAGGCCGAGGTGACCCAGCCAGAGCCGCGGCTGCCAGCGACATGTTCAAGGTGAGAGCGTGGAGCTGGGTCACAGCTGTCACCGCCCCCTCCCGGTTGCACGGAACCCCTTCCCGCGCTCTCGTGGACCTCTCCCGGAACCAGGTCCTGCACTCCCAGAGGCTTTTCTCGCCTTCGGGTCGGCGCCGTGTTGTCCCGCGGTTCAATGACAGGTCCACACGGCGCGAGTGGCTACCGGACGCAGGCTAGAGCCCGCCACCGCGTCCAGGACGCACGTGGGCGGCCTAATCTGGGACTGAGGCTTGTGAGACCCTGTGGGAGGTGGCCCTTTGAGTCGTGAATAAAGTACTTTAAGAAGTTAAAGTACCCACCTCCTTCCCCTGGCTGGTGCCCGCTTGGGAACGTGGGTCCGGTGAGGCCAGCTCCTCGCGCTGCGGAGCTAGGCTCTGGTTGCCGGGCAGGGTCAGATTTCAGTACCAGGTGTGTTGGGGGTAGGGGAAGGTCACTTTCGGAAAAGGTGCCGTAGGGGAAGTGGGAGGCCCACGTGAGAATAGCTGAGTGAGTAGGAGAGCTTGGGCCCCACTCCTCAATAGACAAGGTGACACCTGTTTTTACATAACATGAACTAGTGTCATTGGGGAAAAACTGACATAGAGAACTTTGTTATGAAAACTTGGATTTTAACACGAAGCTCTTATTCAACTTTAAAAGCATAAGGGTGAAAAAAAAAAAAGCATAAGGGTGTTTTTTCCTTGGAAAACAAAGGCTACCAGAAGTCAGTCTACAAAATTGAGTCCCCAAGTACCTGTAAAATAGTACCTATGAAATCTCGAAATTATACCACTCATTTTAAAGTTTTATTGAGGTGCCATAATGTGCGGAAGTAAAGGCTATAAAATCACAACATGCATTGTGCCTTCCTCTCCTGACATTGCCACTTTCTAGCTGTGTGACCTTGGTCCAGTCTCTTAACCTCTCTCTGCTGGTTTCTCTGTTGATGAAATTGTGTTAATAATAGCATCTATTGGGTAGGATTGTTCCCATCCCCTTTTTTTAGAAACAGTAAAGAAATGCAGATATTTAAAGCGCTTGGAAGAGTGACATCTAAGTACACCTACTCCTCACTTACCCACATGGTTAGGTTCCAAAAGCCAAGTCATTATGTGAAAATTGACGTTATGTGAAAATGGTGGTTGACTGCATCATTACCTGCCAAATCACTGAGAACATGACCAAGCCAGGTTGACCCATTACCTTAACTATCATGGCCCACATTACTCTTCCCTAGCAACTCTGTGTTCTTTGCTGCCACATGAGCATTATTAACATGTAAAACAGTTGGGTGTACTTTTTACTATTGTCATAAATACAAAACAAGGTCAGTGAGGAATAGGTGCATTTGCTTTTATTTTGTTTTTAGGCAGTTCACATCTTGAGGAGGACTGATCCTTAAGCAACTTTCATTCATTGGATAAATTTATAGTAGCCTGTTTTACACTAGGATCAGCTTATTTGGAAGGTTTGAATAACAGATGATTGCTGTGCTCCTTTTAGCTGTAATGGGTGTTAACAATGTACTATAAGAGGAGAGTGGGTCCTACTTTTCTCTAACCAGGAGGTTTTAGCCTGGGGTCCTCAGCCTTCCAAAACATCTGTGAGTAGATTTTACAATCCTGGAACTCAGCTAAGGAAAAAAAAGAAATTAATATTTTCAATAATCTCAAAATGTAGCATTTCCTTTAATTACTAATGTGGGTAGTTGTTTCAGTTATCTATTGGTTGTATAATGAACCCTTGCAAACCAATGCCTTAATTTTTTTATTTAGGTTGGCTGGGCAGTTCTACTAGTATCCCCCAGTGGCTGAATTCAATGGCGACTGGACTAGAAGGTGACTTCACATATGTTTGGGGACATGATGCTCCACCATGTGCTTAGCTTGAACTTCCACACATTAGTTTCTATGGTCCAAGAAGACAGGTCTCAATGGTAAACACTTGCAAAGCTTCTACTTGCATCACACTTAATTATGTTATAGCAAGTCACATGCCCAAGCCCAGAATCCATGTGAGAGAAGGACACAAGGGCACGACTGCCAGGAGGTGTGGTTCACTGGGGGCCATTAATTTAATAAGCTAAGACAGTGGAAACCACAGTGGTACTTGCAGTACTTGTCATATTAACATTTGTTACAGATTTCATCATGTATTCTCATCACTACTTCAAAATGGACGTAGTTATAAGACTCCACTCCTGTTGTATCTTTATTTCATGCACTGATAAAGAAACATGTGTGTCAGACATTTGTGCTTTTAAGGTATATTATAACTATTTTAATATCATAGGAATTTAATTAGAAGGATGGTGTCCATGGGGCTTGATAGGAGCCCTGGTGGCATCTTTGGTTATGTTTTTGTCTGCTAAGTAAAAGATGTGTTCTGTTGTGCATAGGGTTTTCAGAGGCCTGCTATTTCAGAAGTGGGTGGCCAATCCTTCTTCCTAGTCTGTCTTAATCT